TATATATATATTGCAGGTCCATTAAACGTGAGGAAACAGAGGGACATTTGAATAAATCCTGGAGTTCTTCTTTAACTTTACATATATACGTGTGGTGGTATTGCTCTAATGTGCATGTTAATATAATGGACAACAACAGGACTGTTATCTGAAATGAATCAATATTGCCATTCAAATTCAACCTGGCTTGTTCTCTGCCTCCCCAATAACAATCAGCCATAGACAAGAGATTACAGTTCCCTAATGTGACCGTTTTCATCCAGAATGGATTGTGATATTACACCTGTGGTTACCCCAAGATGACACCATCAGGACAATGAGAAATTGGATAGGTTAAAGAAACTGTGCCGATTACCAATGTCCCCACCTAATCATGTAACTGGCAACATCCTGTCTCCTGCTCCCCGCACCCTCTATTGAAATGAACACAGTTCTCTGAAGACCTCTGGAAATGTTTTTGCCTTGAGTCCACTTGAATTGTGTTTGCCGTCTGGTCTACGTAAAGTCTTAGTAAACAGGGGTAGCCTAATTCCGGCCCTCCAACTTTGGTGAAACTACAAAATTCCATCATGCATCTGCCTCTGGAAGCCATGCCTGAGGGCCTGTTCACAGGACGTCCGTTTTGTGTGCTGACCGGATCCGTACGCTGCTGCACTCAAAATGCATCCCAATGTATCCCTATGTGTTTTATGGGCTCCAGTTCTCACGTGCGCAGTCCGTTCAGCTTACGACAGAAAAAATACTGCATGTCACATTTTGTCCGGTCCGGAAAACGCACGAACGCGCATGAAACGCAACGAAAACAGAACGGAAACGCAACGCAATGCAGCTAAGGGGGGGGGAAAAAAAGAAAAAAAATTGTATTCTTGCTCCACTTATTATGATGCCATCAACGTTGACAAAAAATTAACTGTCAGCATCCGGACCGAAAACGCATCAAAAACGCGTAAAAAACGCACTGCATCAGCAGCTGATCTCATGTGAACAGGCCCTGAAGCTGTCAGAGCCTTGCAGTGACTCATGGGACGTGTAGTTTCATGTAGTTCAACTGGAGGTTTGAGGAAGTTTAGCTAATGTTATTGCCCAAATATGTAT